AGGTAAGCATTTCTTCCCAAAGTTCTCTCCCTATTAGTTTTTTAATTTCTTGGAAGAGCTCTATAATCCCTCTATCTCAGTGTCAACAACAATGCCTTTGAAAGATTGCAAATGTTAACAAATATCAGATAAAATGCCATCTTAGCCAAAGGATAAATCAAAGTAAGTATAAGCCTACTTGAGGCCTGACAAAAATATGTGTTTGTCGCCTTGCTGATGATGTTCGATATTATATTTTAACATAATATTTCCATTGTGCTAGGTACTGCTTTAGTGGCTCTTTCAAAACTTTTTATATGTGTGTGCCTTCCATGTGTCAGGCACAGTAGTGGGCTCTGTGACTATATGGTTAAAACACCAATAACGGATTTAATGAGAATTCCATTATATCTGTATATTGCTTGGTGTAATATGGTAATTTTAAATATGTTGATTCTTCCAATCCATGAACATGGAATATCTTTCCATTTCTTTGTGTCCTCTTCAATTTCTTTTAATACTACTTAGTAGGTTTCAGTATATAGGTCCTTCATATCTTTTGTTAAGTTTATTCTTAGATATTTATTCTTTTGTTGCAACTGGGTTTTTTTCCATTTATTTTTCTGAAATTTTATTATTCGTATATAGGAACACAGTGGATTTTTAGTACTGCAATTTTACTGTATTCGTTTATTGTTTCTAATAGGTTTTGGTGAGGTCTTCAGGGTTTTCTATATGAAGAATCATGTTAGCTGCAAAAAGTGACAATTTTACTTCTTCTTCATTCCGATTTGAATGCCTTTTATTTCTTGCTCTTGCCTGATTGCTCTGGCTAAGACTTCCAATACTATGCTGAATAACAGTAGAGAGAGGAAGTATCCTTGTCTGGTTCCTGATCTTAGAGGGAAAATGTTCAGTTTTTCACCATTGAGTATAATATTAGCTGAGGGTTTGTCACATATACCTTTATTATAATGAGGTACTTTCCTTCCATACCCATTTTAATTGAGTTTTTAAATCATAAATGGATGTTGTATCTTGTCAAATGCTTCCTTTTTCTGCATCTATTAATATGATTATATGATTTTTATCCTGTATTTTGTTTATGTGGTATATCACACTGATTGATTTGTGTATGTTGAATCATCCTTTTATCCCTGGAATGAACCCCTCTTGATTGTGATGTATTATCTTTTAAAGGTATTCAATTTCCTAGCATTTGGTTTAGGAGTTTCGCATCTGTATTCATCAGAGATATTGGTCTGCAGTTTTCTTTTCTGTGTTATTCTTGCCAGGTTTGGATATCAGGGTAATGTTGGCCTCATAAATGAGGAAGCATTGTGAAGAGTTTGAGAAGGACACGTATTAAATCTTTGAATGTTTGGTAGAATTCACTAGTGAAGCCACCTAGTCTTGGACTTTTGCTCTTTGGGATGTTTGGGATAATCATTTTAATTTCCCTACTGTTGACCACCCTATTTAGATTTTCCAGTTCTTCATGATTTAGTCTAGGAAAGTTACATATTTATAAGAACTTGTCCATTTCTTCTAGGTTATTGAATTTGGTTTCATATAGTCCTTCATAGTCTTCTTGTATGGTCCTTTGTATTTCTGTGATGTCCATTGTAATTTCTTCTCTTTCATTTTAAATTTTGTTTATTTGAGTCTTTTCTATCCCAATGATATTTTTAAAAGAAATAGAACAAAAAAATCATCACATTTCTATGGAACTAGAAAAGATAGCCAAAGCAGTCCTGAGAAAAAAGAACAAAGCCAGAGATGTCACACTCTCTGACTTCCAATTATACTACAAAGTGACAATAATAATAATAATAATAATAATAATAATAATAATAACATGTATTGGCAGAAAAACAGACACACAAATCAATGGAACAGAATTGAGAGCCCAGAAATAAACACACATATACAAGGGCGGATAATTAAGTTCACAAACTCATCCTAGAAAAAGTACTACATACCTCATTGCTGAATATTACTATGGTCACCTTCAAAGTACTCCCCTTGGGAAGCTATGCACCGACACCTGTGCCTAGTCCACCCTTCAAAGCAATTTTGGAACTCTTTTTCTGGAATGGCCATCAGAGCTGTCGTCGTATTACCCTTGATGTCCTGAATGTCATAAAAATATCTTCCTTTCAATATTTCCTTTATCTTCAGGTAAAGACAAAAGTGATTGGGGGCCAGGTCAGGTGAGTAGGGAGGGTGTTCCAATACAGTTATTTGTTTGCTGGCTTAAAACTCCCTCACAGACAGTGCCGTGTGAGCTGGTGCATAGTCATGATGCAAGAGCCATGAATTGTTTGCAAAAAGTTCAGGTCATTTTCTACTAACTTTTTCACACAGCCTTTTCAGCACTTCCAAATGGTAAACTTGGTTCATTGTTTGTCCAGTTGGTACAAATTCATAATGAATAATCCTTCTGATACCAAAAAAGTTAGCAACATCATTGCAACAAGTTCACAAACTTAATTGACAGATCTCATATATGGGCAATAATTTTCAACAAAGGAGCCAAAAACATACAATGGAGAAAAGAAAGTCTCTTCAATAAATGGTGCTGGGAAATTGGAAAGTCAGATGCAAAACAATGAAGCTAGTCTGCTATTGTCACCATACACAAAAATAACTCAAAGTGATCAAAGACCTAATACAAGACCTGAAACAATAAAATACATAGTAGAAAACATAGTTACTAAACATGTGGACCTTGGTTTTAGAGAGGATTTTATGAATTTGACTTCAAAGTTAAGGGAAGTAAAAGTGAAAAATATATGAATGGGACCATATCAAACTATAAAGCGTCAGCAAGGCAAAAAAACAAAAACAAAACATGAACAAAACAAAAAGGCAACAAATCAAATGAGAGAATATATTTGCAAACAACACCTCCAATAAGGGATTAATATCCAAAATATACAAAGAACTCATATAACTCAACAACAACAAAAAAACCAAACAATCCAAATTAAAAAATGGGCAGAGGACCTAAACAGACACGTCTCCCAAAAAGACAAACGACCAACAGATATATGAAAAGATGCACAACCTCACTAGCTATTAGGGAAATTGCAAATCAAAACCACAATGAGATACCACCTCACACCTGTTAGAATGGCTGTTATCAACAAGACAAGCAAAACAAGTGTTGGAGAGGCCGTGGAGAGAAAGGAACCCTCATACACTGCTGGTGGGAGTATACATTAGTACAGCCACCATAGAAAGCAGTATGGAAGTTCCTCAAAAAATTAACAATAAAGTTATTTACGGTGGCCAAGACATGGAAACAACCAAAGTGTCCTTCAATGGATGATTGGATAAAGAAGATATGGTACATATATACAATGGAATATGGAATACTACTTAACTGTAAAAGAAGATGAAATACTGCCATTTGCAACAACATGGATGGCTCTTGAGAATATCATGCTAAGCGAAATAAGTCAGAAAGAAAAAGTCAAGAACCATGTGATTTCACTCATATGTGGGATATAACACTGAAAGTAAGAAACGAACAAGCAAGACAAATGAAAACTCAGACACAGGCAACAGTTTAGTAGTTACCAGAGGAAAAGGGAGTGGGGTGGAGGAAGAAAAGGGTTGGGGGTGTCAAATATATTGTGATGGAAGGAAATTTTGTGTGGTGAACACACAATACAATATACAGTGATGTGTTATAGAATTGTACAAACCTTTATAATTTTACCAACCAATGTCACCCCAACAAATTTAATAAAACTAAACACCAATTATAACAAAACAACACACCAACACCATTCTTAGTCCATGTTTTCATGAAGCTTTAGTCTATTTTATAAAATTAGAAGCCTCTTAAGATGACAACACTGTGTTATAGATACCTTATGTAGGTGAGTTAATCAAATCATCTTCTCTAATGATACTATCTATTAAAGGAAACTGCTTCTTGACATTAAGAAGTCCATTCTAACCACCGCTTAAAACACCATCTCTTCTTACTAATAAGTTATATTTCCACTTAATACCAGGATTTGCTCATCTTCCTATGTAAAAATCTACAAATACATAATGTTGTATCTGATACAAGCATCATTTCTCCAGCTGATTATTTTCTTTATGAATTTTCCTTGGCACCAAATGTTCGTGCTATTTCAAATTAATGAAAAAAAGCAAAGTGGGATTATGTTTTTGTCTTTATCAGGGTTGTGCAATGACTTGAGAGTTAAGGACTTGTCGATTTATACTGAATCCTCGACATCTCAGAAATGTCATGTGATCTTTCGACAGGTGTCATTTGTTTTACAGTAATTTGTCATGTTAAGGAGCTACTTTGCAATTTAGCTAAAAGGAAAATTATTTACATAAAAAATTTATATGTATCATGCTAATAATCCCCGGGCCTCTCTCATCTACCTGTACTTTCTGTGCACTCTAAAATAAGTCATCACAGTGTACAACATTATATGTCCAAATTATCATAGAGGTAGACTTCCATCATGCTCTACTATGGAAGCAATGCAAAACAAAGTATGCCTGTGATGGTTTTGAGAGATGAAAGCCCTAGTATTTCTGCTGAAATGCAATAGCTTTGAAGTCTTCTTTCTTGGCCCAAAGAAAACATAATCACTGACCTTGAATGGATGATGAAGACATAAATTTTCAGATTGACTGTTCTTGATTTATAGGCAGGCCTCTTCTGGACTGTGAGGAAAAATGATCCTTGCTATTTTTTGATTATTTCTTCATCGTTCATATTTTATATTCTGCATCTGCCCTGAAGCTATTTTCAGGGATACATTTTTACAAACTGGAAAAAAAAGAAATGAGAATATATGAAAAATAATTTGATTTCTTGGCTGTAATATATCTGCCCTTTTGGCCAAAATAACAATAATCACCACACCAATCCAAACAACATAAAGCATGCTACTATTGTTAAAATTTAAGTAAAACTTTTGAAACCTAGCTAGAAATACTTATTATTTAGTAATTTTTTTTCTCTGTGGAAAATTCTTTTATAGGACTGGAGAAAGGAAGTCAGTACAGTTTCCAAGTGTCAGCGATGACAGTCAATGGCACTGGACCACCTTCCAACTGGTACACAGCAGAGACCCCAGAGAATGATCTAGATGGTAAGACCTTGCCCCACTCACTATCACTCTGATTTCTATCTTTTTGTTACTTCAGCTTCAAAGGCTCCCTTCAAAAAAGTTAATGAAATCCAACATCAGGGATATTTATTCCTTCCATATCTTTAGATGTAAAGCAAAACCAAAAACCTTTAATGAATACAGAACCTTCAACATATAAATATAACTTATGCATTATTTACAGTCCTCATAATAAGTTACTTTTTTCAAGATAATTTGAAATAATCTTTTTTCTATTGATTTTATTTTGAATAATTGACAAACATTTTCTTCACAGAAACTGCTACAATATCTGGTAATAATCATGAAATGTAATTACTTTGCATAACCTCTCTTACCATTTTTACAATGCTTCTGCAAAAGAGCAGTTTGTGTTTTTGACTTGTTTATGTTATGGTCATTAATACTTGACACTTCATTTTTATATAAAGGACAACCTGCTTTATTTGCTTCATTGATAGTTGTCAGACCTTTGTGGATGAGATATTGAGATTCATATAAGATTCACAAAGGACAACCCTAGAGGTAATAGAAGATTTTATGGAAAAGTAACTTGAAGCTTAGATGCTATTTAACTTGTCTTAGGTAATATAAATTGAGAAGTTGTGGAGCTACAGTCGCACTTCACAAGTTCTATACCCTTCACTAATAGGTTAGGGAACATTGATTTATGTATTTATTTATTCAACATGTGTCTCTTCTTGAACATCTATATATAGCAGGCATTATTTTAGGTAGTAGTGTAAAACAATAAATAAAGCCCCTACTCTCAAGGAGTATACATTTTGTTGAGATAGAGATAGATAGATAGTGATAAACACCCTAAAGAAAAATAAAGCCTGATAGAGGGAATAGCAAATGATTTGGGAGTACCATTTTATATGGGAGGGGAGAAGATCTCTTTGATTAGATAAAATATAAGCACAGACTTGAAGGCAGTGAGGAAGGTAGCCATGTGAATAGGTCAGACAAGAGCCACCTAGGCAGTAGGAAAATCAAGAACACAGCCCACATTGGAGCCCAGCTGGTGGCTAAACTAAGGCAAGGAGTCCAGGATAGCTGGGCCTGAGGCCATAAGAATATAATCTGCCTTATTTTAAGAATAAAAGGACAGTTAGTATAAGCTATAATAAATACCTTCTTTTTTTCTATTTTACTTGAGAAATAATTGTTAGAGTATATATACTTGTCCCTTATCCTCTCATCAACCATTACTTTTAAAGAAGAGTAGCTTAAGCTATGAAAAGTTAATTAACTTGATCAAGTCACTCAGCTGGTAACTGTGGAGCTCAAGACCAAGTCTTGTGAGTCAACGTCCAGTACAGGTCATCAGAGCAAAGCCTCCACTAATGCTCTAGAACTGATCCAGTGACAATAAGAGACAGTGATTCAAGGCAAAAGTTTCTAAGAAATGAGGTCATATCATTTACCCAAACCTAAGGGACTGTATCTCTTACTGGAAGGAGCGAAAATAAATGGAGCAGAGGTGCTGAAGGTCCTATAAAATATCCAAGATGAATGGGGCTCTCCACTTGACTTATGTGTGCTTTCTCCTCGCTCCAAATGACTCACAGTTTTAAGTGGAAACAAAATGTAATATCACAGCTCCTGGGATGGCACAGAACTTCTATTTAACTGCATGCTTTTCATATCCATGCAATCTTACTATAATCCAATTCATGCATCCATTTTAATTAAGACTGTCTATGCCATGCTCATGAGTACAGTCTTAATAAATGCTGCGTAATTGGATTTGTTGGAACTTTTCCATGCTCTTGGCTGAATAACGTCCCTCTTTTGCATGCAATGCCCCTCCTTACTTTTTCCTTATTTGAGTATCGATACAGTTCTTATGAAACATAATTAAGAATCCATAGTGTGCCGAGTCGTGGGGAGTACAGACGTGAAAGAGATAGGAATAGCCAGCTCTCTTGAGGCATAAACAGATAATGGCTGCACTGATTGAAAAGACTTCATGAAAACAAATAGTACTGGAACTAGAAACTTCAGGAAAAGGGGTTTGACTAGGTTTACAGGAAAGGTGTGTGAGACAGCATAGTAGATAAGAATGCCTTTAGGAAAATTATTTCTGCCACTATTAGTTGAAAATGTATCCTCACTCATCCAAATGTTATTCATTCACCAGTCAATTATCCTAACACATTTCAGTACATTTCAAATATTGCCTCGTTTCTCATTCTTCCACCCCTTCTCTGGGATTGTAATTCCTTAGACAATTCTGTCCTTGCCCATAATATATACATTAGCAATCTAAAAAGGTAAATAAAAAATTAACAGAAGAATGCTAGTAATATTGACACTCCTTGCACATAGTGCTGTTATAGATTATGATTTGAGATTGTTCACCTTTAAATGGAAAGGGAACTGACTCTCGGTGGTGAGCATATAATGCGATATATAGATGACGAATTATAGAATTGTATACTTGAAAGCTATGTAATTTTACAAACCATTGTCACCCCAATAAATTTAATTTTTAAAAAAAGAAAAAAGAAAAGCAGAGTCTGTGCCAACAGCTTATGTGCAGTAGGTTATGTGGGATGGATCCCAGGAGCAGGAGTGAACTCGGGGAGAGAGAAGCGCAGGAGGTGAGAAAAGCAACGCAATGGTTTCCAGCAACCCTTGAGCAAAAAAGACATACATGATGGAGCTGAAGCAAGATGCTATCCGGTTATAACAGTGTGAGACCGGTTGCCCAGCAATGGCTGCAATTAAAGATAGGACCAGAGTATGTGAGGACACAGGGAGTCTGACATCCCCTCAGCAACTAATGCTTACAGTAGGTGTGCTGTAATTATTAGTGGAATTAATTGAAATACTTCCTCCTTGAGGCCTCTGCACAGTATCACCTGTGGTCCTCCAGTGTTAGACCTGGAATGCTCAAGGCTTCCTCTTTAAATCAATTATAAGCAATCTCTGATCGCCATATTAAAATGCCCTGAATGGCGAAAATAGCAAGATCATATGATCATGACTTTAGATATTTACAAAGCTTTTCTGTACACTAAAAAAAAAAAAGAGAGAGAGTGAGATTGTTTGCCTTTAAAAAACAGTAAAAACGAATAGCTGATTCAGGGCATTTAACTATATGAATAAGGAAGAGATGTGTTTCTCTTGCTTTGTAAGGCCTTCTCAATTTATTGACTCATGATCTCTGCACTGAGATACTCTACTAAACTGATTTCAGTTTCTCTTCCTCCTGTTTTTTTTAAATTCTGACTGCATTATTCAAATATTAAAAAATTTAACTCTTGATAGGAATTAACATTTGCAAAAATGGACAACCTCAGAAGTGGTCATTAGTAGCTCCTAAAGGATACTCAGCTTCATGGCTTATGGGTTCTCTGTCTCTCTGTCTCTCTGTCTCTCTCTGTCTCTCTCTGTCTCTCTCTGTCTCTCTCTCTCTCTCTCTCTCTCTCTCTCTCTTTCTTTCTCTTTCTCTTTCTCTCTGTCTCTGGGAAAGACAAACACACCCACCCACCCACACACACACACACACACACTTATAGATTTATTGATTTATTAATATTTTAAGCTAAGGAAATTTTCTTTAAAAATTCACCTCATTCATATAATTGTTTAAATCATAAAATAAGGTATAAATGGCTTCTTCCCAACTATCATGGTTCCTGTTAGAAAGTTTTGAATTCTAAACATTCCAAAGTCCGAACTTTTGATATAGAATTGCTTGATTTCCCTTAAGTTGTGTATATGGAAGAAGCAGCCATTTTGAAAACCAACAGAAATGGGAGGCATTCCTTGCTGTAGCCAAAAAAATCTGCATTGGAAGGGAATTGCAGTGTTAGCCCTCTCCAGGTGCATTGCGTTGCATAACTTCCCCCTCTTACTTTCAGTGTCCTGGTGAACTCCAAGAAAGTGATCCACTCCTTAGGTGGTAAATGAACTCTCTAAGTTAGCTAAACAGAGGTCGTGTGGTCTGTGCAGAGAGCCAAGAACAACCCCTTCTCCTTCTGTGGCTTCTTTCTCTTCCATTCTTGGCTTGGTTTAGGCAGTGTGAAGATCAACAGTAACTTGGAGAAATACTCTAATTCCTTATGGATTGCCTTTTTAATTAGGATGTTTTGTTAAAGTAATTATAGAACAAACTTTATTGTTTGTTCAGGGTTCCCTTAAAGCATGTTTGCTATTACTAACAGCTGGGAAGTTTTAAAATATTCATTTTGTGCCTCAAAACTTCAGTTTACAAAAAAAGGACAAGATTATTAAAATTCCCCAAAGTTCTTATGTAAATGGCTTCCATAAAGATATGAGAGAATGTGTGATGAAGTTCAGCAAGGTGTCCTGCAGGAAATTGAGCTGGGGGATCTGGTTGTGCTGCCTTTTTATTTTGTTCGAATTTTGACATGAACAGGTAAAAATTGCTATCCATAATAATGATGTAATTTATAATTAAACCCCTACCCTAAAACAGAGGAGCTTAGCTATCAAAATTAACAATGCAGAGAACCCTGAAAGTGCAAATGTGCTGTAGCAAAAACTGTGAACCTAGGAGCTCTCTCTAATTTCCTGCCTCCAAGAAATAGATAATTAGCCCTATTAGCCTGATCAAGTAATGGTTGAATGGAATGGGATTACTGCAAATTCATTTCATTTAGGATGTGAACCACGAAGAAGCTCCTGTGTTTTGGAACTTGCACAATATATGATATTCACTGAGAGCATAGCTTTGAGAAGGAACACATAAAGCTCATTTTTGGAGTAATGATAAAATTTAAGATGATGAGGCCACCCAGAAAGATGGAACAGTACATAGTAAAGCTTTCATACTTATTCAAAAAAATAGAGTCTGAAAAGTAGAAAACCTCTGGGCAGAAGAATGAAAAAAATAAGTTGTTGACTAATTGGAAGAAATTGAAAAATAAGAGAGAAGGGTAGGGAAGGAAAGGGAAGGGAAGGGAAAGGACGAAAAAAGGAAGGAGTGAAGAAAAGATAGGAGGGAG